AATAAATGTCATAATCACACTACGCAAACGAATGTGTGATCTAGACGAGATTTTATTGACTTAGTCATAACAGCACTATGCAAGCAAATCCGCAGTCATGACAAAGAATTATTAACACGCTATTACTTTGATAATTCATTACATTTAAGAAAGAAGAAAGAAAAAGAAAAATTAATGTTTGGAGTTTATTAAATGTCAATTGCCGCTGCTACGCAAGCAAATCTACAGTTATAAGCAGGGGATTAATTAAATTAAAAATTAACTAAAATTACTAGGTGTGGTATGAGATTATTGAATTAATTTATTGAAGGTTAAAACAACACGCTACGCAAGCGAATCCGTGAATGAAAAAAAAAAGTTAAAGCGGGCTTATTAGTTGCTCTGCGCTTAAATAAAATAAATAAGTTATCAAAAAGATTATTACTAAAGAAGTTCGCCTTATTGGATCTTATTGAAAGAAACCTGATTTTCTAATCAACTAGGCCGGCTAATGGTTATCTTAGAAAATGGGCCAGCTGATATACTCAATTGTTTTTACATGATATGGGCTTTATCAGCCGCCCTACTAATCAAAAGTAAGCTACCACTACCCTAAGTCATGATCAAACCCATAACAATTTCAGATTTTAACAACATCAATACCACCCTATTGATTTTGAACCAAAATAAATCACACAACTAACGATTGACGAAACAGAAAAAACTTAAACTAATTAGATTAAACAAATTGATTTGTACAAACTAAACATAGAACAAACAAATGAATTCACAAACTAATGCTCGAAACAGATTTTAAACGAGAACTGTTAATTATTCGTCAACGACTAACAACAACTAAATAAACGACTATTAATAGCCGCTAATCAGAACCTAACTGTATGGAAACAACTGATTCATCTTGCGATCACAAAACGATTCATGGCTGAATCAAATAGAAAATCAAGCAACTACGCAAAAAATGAACTTGATCTATCGAATCGACAAGGATCAAAACGAGCAATTCATTATCGACAAGAAACATACGATTCAAACTGAATCTAAACCCAATTAGAGAAGAAAAAATCAGAAAAATAAAAAGGGAGCTAGGATTTTACTGTATACTCGAGTATCCGGGCAATGGCGATAGGTAGTGGTACGACTCAAGCGAGTGTCTAATGTCGATTATTATTGAAACCACGACTCCGGAGAATTGGATGCTAGCTTCGATAAAAATCGACAACAGAAACTCGCTTGAGGCCGAGGTGGAGAGAGAAACGGGAGGCAGTGGCGATTGAGGGGTGACTGTGACGGCGGCGGATCGGCAGAGGGGGTCGCCGGAATTCCGGTCGCTGGAATTTCGGGTTAAAACCAATGCCAAATTGTACCCCTTGATGAGATCTATCTATGTATGTAAAAATTAAGTGGAGAAAAGGGCTCAATGTTCTCGAATTTATGAAAAAAGTTGCGGCTAGGGTTTCGTTCTTTTGAAGATTTGTGGCGTTTGAGAAGGATTCGAGGAATTTGGGGTTTGGATATGGGAATAGGAGGAAGAGACGAAGAGGGGGTGAAATTTTGGTGGCGTTTGGAGCTTGGCCGCCGCCGGTGGGCGATTCCCGGCGGCGGCTCTGGGCGGCGGAGAGGAAGAAAAGAGAAGAAGAGAGAAGAAGAGGTCTAGGGCTTGGGCATGTATGGAAAATGAGGCCAAAAAATCAGATTTTCTAAAATTATATACTTCCAATGACATCAATTTTGGACCATTGGATCAAAGAAAATAGGTGGCCAGGATTTGATCTTGATTACTTAACCAAAACGACGTAGTTTCAATCTAAAGCTAAGTCGTTTTGACTATCTCCTGGGAGCCCCAATTGGACCGGATCACTAGACTCTTTGGGCTCCTAATTTTGGGCCAATTTTGGTTCAATTTTAGTCAAAATACACTAGTCCAATCCTTTAACCCCCATATCAAATTATTTAACATAATCTAATTTAAAAGCCTAAAAATACACACATAAGAATTCTAAAAATTATAATGTAAAGAAAGAGAAAAGAAAAAGAAAAAAAAATACATGAGCAAAAATTAGGCATTTACAGTGTCTACTGACCCTTCTAAGATTGAGGCCATGTCTAAATGGCCTATTCCTAATTCAGTTAAGGCCCTGAGGGGGTTCCTAGGGCTGATAGGATATTACAGAAGGTTTATCAAGTCATATGGAATCATTAGCAAACCATTGACAAACTTGCTGAGGAAGAATGCCTTCTAGTGGAATCCAGAGGCTGAACAAGCATTTTCCAGCTTAAGGAAGCTATGACGGCTGAACAAGCATTTTTTTAGCTTAAGGAAGCTATGACAACAGCCCCTGTACTAACATTAGCAGACTTCACTAAACCGTTCATCATTGAAATTGATGCTCGTGATACGGGTATGGGTGCAGTGTTAATGCAGGAAGCAGACCTTTTGCCTTATTTAGTAAGGCATTAGCCCCTAGGCACATGGAGTTATCTACTTATGAGGAGTACATGGATGTATTATCTGTTGTTGACAAGTGGAGACACTACCTACAGGGGAGTTATTTTATTATAAAAACTAATCATCACAGTTTGAAATATTTGTTGGAGCAAAGAGTGACTACTGCATACAGCAAAAAGGTCTAACCAAGTTACTAGGGTTAGACAATGAGATACAGTACAAAAGAGGGGCTGAAAATAGAGTAGCAGATGCATTGTCCAGAAGACAAGAGGAAGAGTCTGAATTATGTGCTATTTCTACTGTGGAACCTACATGGATGAAAAAGATAGAGATGACTTATGAACATGATCCCATAGCATCACAACTCATAACTGAGCTGATCACAACACCTGGGGCCAAACCTAAATATACTTTAACTCAAGGAGTTATCAGGTTTGAAGGGAAGATTTTTGTGGGCAGACGAGTTAATCTGAGGCTTAAGATTTTTGAGGCCTTACATTTATCTCCCCTAGGGGGTCACTCTAGGCAGCAAAGGACCTATAAAGGGGTTCAAGCTATCTTCTATTGGCCTAATATGAAAGCTAATATTAATAAATGGGTGTTTGAATGTGACACTTGCCAAAGAGTCAAGACTGAAAATGTGCACCCTGTAGGGCTTCTGTAGCTACTTCCTATTCCTGAGTTTCCTTGGCAAGACATAGCCATGGATTTTATTGAAGGACTGCCTTCCTCGGCTCAAAAGAATGCTATCCTGGTTATTATTGACAAACTAACTAAATATGGACATTTTCTGGCCTTAAAACACCCTTATACAACAAAGGATGTGGCCAGTCTTTTCTTGAAGGAGATTTATAAACTTCATGGTCTTCCCAAGACCATAGTATCAGACAGAGATCCTATTTTTACTAGTCAATTTTGGCAGCAGTTGTTTAAGACTTTGGCCACTAAACTTACAATGTCCACTGCCTATCACCCACAAATAGATGGATAGACTTAGAGATTTAATCGTTGCTTAGAATCCTATCTCTGATCTATGGTGTTCTCTGATCCCAAACAATGGGTTACATGGCTTCCATTGGCTGAGTGTGGTACAACACCAACCACCACAGCTCCCTAGAGAGTACCCCTTTTCAGGCTCTTTATGGATTTGCCCCACCGCAGATTCCATTGGGTTCTCTTCCCCATTCCTCACATTCACAGATTGGAGCATGTATTGCACAGAGACAACAGATGCTACAACAGCTCAAGGAGAATTTAGTATAGGCCCAAGCTCGTATGAAATTCTACGCAGACAAGAATATGACTGATAGAGTCCTCAACGAAGGCGACCTTGTCTACCTTAAGCTTCAACCTTATAGACAAGCGTCTATGGCGATGGGGAAGAACTACAGTAATGAAAAGAGTAGGGTCGGTCGCTTACCAGTTGGATCTGCCTCCAGGTTCACAGATTCATCCCGTCTTCCATATATCTCAGCTGAAGCGTCGAGTAGGACCTTCGATACTGCCCAACCATCAACCACCAATATGTGACAACGAGGGTCGTGTTCTTGTGCAGCCACTGCCCGTTTTGAAATGCCGGATGGTGAAGTTTAATAATGCTGTTGCGGTTAAGGTGTTAGTCCATTAGACTAATCTGAGTATCGACGAGGCAACTTGGGAAGATTGGGGGTATATTAAAGGTCAGTTCCCAGCATTTGCAGCTCAGTTCCGACCTTGAGAACAAGTTCGATTTCAACGAGGAGGTATTGTTAGGATTGGGAAACGGCGGTCTGAAGGAGTTGAAATGAGAAGGCTTTAGGGTAAATAAGGGGTAATAGGAGAGGACACGTGGCAAGTAGAGGAGATAGTTAATAATAGATCAATAGCCTAAACAAGAAGATGAACCAACGGCTGAGATCAAAATACAATTTTATCCAATGGTGCAGAATTTAGAAGCAGTTAGAAGACTTGTGCTGCTATAACACAATTGGGCTGGCCCAACTAATTCAGTTTTGGATTGGTATTCATTTCCCTCACTTTCTCTCTCGTTTCTTCTCTCAATTCTCTCTTCTTTTTCTTTCTTCATTTCCTAATTCTTTCTTCTTCTTTTTTCCAGGTTGAATTCATCAATGGAGTTGCAGATTAATTCTCTAGATTTGTAATTTTCATTGTAATTTCAACAGACTTGTAATAATCATTCGATTGGATACTGAATTCTAATAAAGTTTCTTCTATCGTTTTTCAATCGTCCGTATAGTTACAATTCTAATTAGTAAGTCCATTACAGAACCTTTGTCGAGTTTATACATATATAAAGCGTAATGTGACTATTTTAATAATAATAAGTGTGTAAATCAACATAGTTAAAACCACATGGAATAATGTGTAGTTACTCATTTTGTTTATTCTCATTAATCCCGGTTCTTAAAAAGAGAAATAAAATATCAAAAATTGCATATATCACTACTAAAGTAATGCGAATTTCCCACGAAATATTATTAGTGATAATTCCCACCAAAAATTTGACAAAATCAGTGGGAAAGTGGGGACAAGAAAATTTTACCAAAATTTCAATAATTCTCACATACTCTCCCTTGGAACTATTTAGCGCCTACAACGGCGAAATTTGTTTCCTAGAGAAAAAGAATTCTCAAGGAAAACAGTGGCAAACTAAAATTTTTTCTGAATACTTTTAATATTCCAGCAGATTCTCTAGGAAAGTAAATATTAATAAGGATTTCCCACATTATTCAGACATTCTTCATTCTCCATTGTCTTATCTGTGAACTTAAACATCAATTTCCTCCAGCAAGCTTGCGATTCCGGGAATCCCTTCACTCTGACGAGTAGGTAAGTCGATCTCTTTTTCTCTCTCTCATTTCCCCTTTCCCCGATTTTCCCCCAAAATATATCTAGGATTCCGCCACTTTATCGAACCCTAGATTTTTTTATGCTTCCTCTATTTCATTTATGTAACTGAAGGCAATTCCGTGATCCTTGTGCTGTAAATAAAACTCAGCAATAGTAGGAAAAGGATTTTGGTGGTTCAGAAACCAAATCTTTGTAAAAACCAAATTCCAGTTGTAGAACTAGTTAAACTCGTCTCCATATTCTTTCTTTTGTTTCATGCTTCTTTTCCTCTTAGAGAAGGGCTTGACTTTGTTTTAATTAACAATTTGATGTTTTACACTAGATATGTAGGTTTAAGATGTGCATAGTTAGCTGATTGGACAGAACAATTTTAAGATGTTTAACCTAACTTGTGTGTTTTTTTTAAAGGTAAGTTTATTTCAGAGTAATTTTACTCTCGTTATGTTTCAATGGACCAGCATTCTATGTTTGTCTTGCATTTGAAAAATAGAAATAAGTCAAACAATTTCTCTGTTAATATATATATAATTCAATGGTGTTACTGTTGAATTAAGAGGATAGTAGATACCCACTTGCTGCTATGAATGAGATGTATTCTCATCTCTGGCGATGTCTTTCTTTCTCTATTTGATCTGTGGCTATTATTAGCTTGCTAATCTCATTTTGAACTCAGAGACTGAGAATTTTGTATTCATCATTTTAAGTTTCCTCTGTAAATATTGAGTAGCACTAGTTTCACATATAGTTTTATCTGCTTTTACCAATCCTCTAGGCATCTGATAGTTTTCTTGATAAGTAATAAATAATTTTATTAATTAAATAAAAAGGACTAAGTTAGTGCCAAACATAGTTACAAGTTATGAAAATTTCCAATTATATCTAACAAGGCATTCACATCCTTTACCCAGACAAGGTTCCCTAACAAACATGTGAGCAATTATAGATGAAGTTTGATAACTCTAATTTTGTGAGTGACTACCGGATTAGCGATGGAGTTGGTGCATGAATTAATGTTCATTTTAGTTAGAGACTGGTGAAATTTATTAAATAAAATTGAAGTCAAAGGCCAAATTACAATGTAAAAGAGTTACTAAAGAAAGATTTTGCTTTAGGGGGGGGGGGGGGGGCAAAATGGGAGCCACAAGGTATCTCATGACAAGGGGATCTTATAATTCACACCAAACAGAGTTTATTTTGCCAGGAAGGTAAACTAGTTTGCTGCAATTAGTTAAGAGTAAAGTGATCCCAAGTAAAAAGTTACAACATGCTAGTACAGAAAAATGGGAGCCACAAGGTATCTCATGACAAGGGGATCTTATAATTCACACCAAACAGAGTTTATTTTGCCAGGAAGGTAAACTAGTTTGCTGCAATTAGTTAAGAGTAAAGTGATCCCAAGTAAAAAGTTACAACATGCTAGTACAGACTCAGATAGTCGTTATAGTGGTTGAGTTAGATTTATTGAGCTTATTATTGATAAACATAACATGACAGCAGATTTGGTAATGTAGTTTGATGTATTAATGTTACAAAATTTCCTTCAACAGTATGAATAGTGGCAACATTGCATCATGATGGTTGTTAACTGTGGTTGATCATACATGCTGTGGTTGGTTGCTCTTTAAACTTTGTCAGCAAACAACTCTTGTGACATTATCTCCTCTTATTCTTTTTGTGACTTGTCCTGCTGTCAGATTAAGTAGATTAGAAAAGGTACACTACAAAGACCTGAAAAACAAAACATTTTCTCCATAATGAAGGGTAAACTAGCGACACTACACCCTTATTCGATTAACACGACAACTTGCTTTATTCAACAAATTTCTGTTCTCCACTATGCATTTGTGGGCATTGAGGGAATTGTTATGCTTCCTGTTTGCTAGTACTGTGAGTTTATAATTTTTTGTCGTGATGATTAGAACATATTTTTCTTTCCAACATACTCTGAATTAGTCATTCTTCTTTTCACGCTGCAATTTGAAATCTGGTTCTTCTTTTGAACATACATATATATATATATATATATATGTATGTATGTATGTTCAAAAGAAGAACATATATAATAGAACCTAACTACAAGGAAATGTGTGGATGTTTTGACTTTGCTACTTATTATAATATGAAGCCTGAAGGGGCAACTGAGCTCCTTTGATTTTATTTTGTTGTGCCAACTTATGCTCTAGGCAAAGAGAAAAATGGTACAAGCCAATGTTGGATATATAATTGAACGTGTAATGTGGTCAGAGAGCAGCAATGAGATTATATTCGACATCCTAAATCTCATATTGAAAAAGGAACCCCTTGATCACCTGAAGAGATAATTAACTAAGAAATATCATTGATGTACTTGTTGTAACAGTAGAGAGCTTTTTGTCAGAATTACACACAGCTTTTATAACTCATATTCTTCTTCTTTTCTAGGTATAGAATATCTGGTTCATGTCTGCTCTTTATTGCGTGCTTTTGTCATGTGTTAGTTAGGTAAATGCTCTTTTCAAAATAAGATATTAAATTGGATCTTAAGGTCAGATTTGTATTACAATTGAATGATCTTTTTTAAATGTATCTTTGGATTGAATCAAGCTGTTGCAACTATAATACTTATGTTCGCATTGAATGTTGCAACCATAATACTCATATCCACTTCTCCAGTTCTCCTATAATCAAAAGATGTTTCTCTAGTTCCCAGAAGTACTGTGTGGCAGAATTTATGATATTCTTTTTCAACCGTAATCAGCAATTGATATTTTGAATTTAATACTCCCGGTAAAACTTGTCTTGCTAGGTTATCATTTCTTTGCTATAAGGAGATATTGATATAGGGGGCAGTTAAAGCTTACACCCAATATACTTTGACCATTAAGAAACTGAAGTAAGTTCTCTATGTGATATTATATTCTAGTCCATTTGCATTTTATGTTAATTTATTGAGAGACATTGCAATCTGTTAGAATTTTGTAGAGTGAGAATTGCATCTTTACCAATTCCTTTGATTACAAGTTTTATATTTTTTTTAAGAGCCATGATATTGATGCACGATAAGTATGTTAGAATCTTGATTTGACTTGGTATATCTAAAACTGATTTCAAGCCCGAATTGCATTTCAGGACCAAACGAATCGAGAAACCATAAGAAATGATGAGCTCAGTAGCGAAGCATGTATCCACCATCTTCAATCGACCGAACGTAGCCTTGTTGAATCCACTAAGTTGGGAGCAGCAGCTACAACAATGGCGGGGCATACGGGTGAAGGTGCGGAACAACAACCTAGACCAAGCACTGTTCTTGATGCAGAGGAAAATGCAGTCCAGCGGAATGGAACGCCTCATAAAGCGTGAACAGCTTCACCATATCAAAAACTCGGAGAAGCGCGTCTTGGCTCGTAAGCTCCTTGAACGTAAACTCCGTTCTCAAGACCTCGCTCGTAAGCTCAAATCCATTCTCATCAAGAAAGTCAGGTATGGAAAACAAAAAATGAATAATTTTCGACTTGGAGCGAAATAGATAGTGTTCGATCCACGCTCACCGCATTTTCCCCAGACCCCACTTGTTGGGAACATACTGGGTTTGTTGTTGTTGTTGTTGAGCGAAATAGATATAGAGGTTTCATATAGGCTCGTGGTGGATGTAGCCCTTTGGTTATGGGTTCATCCAAACCCAGTATTTTCGACTTGGAATATAAATATGTATGTGTATACCTACTAAAGTCTCAATAAATATTATATCTGAACTCATAATTTTAGAAGTGCAATGAGTTCAATGTTAAAAAATTTAAAGGTCAAATCCATCGAGTTTAAATCCTAGATCCTCCTTTGATATAGCTGAACCCACTAGTTTGGGATTGAGGGTCTAGGTGTTGTTCATGATGTTGCTAAAGTAAGGAAACGTTACTGGGAAGACTAAGAATGTTGTGGATTTTATTTGTGCCAATGATGGACCGTGTTGGGGAGATATCAAGCCGGTGTTATGATAAGCACAAGCTAAATGACATGAATTGATTGCCGATATTGACTAGAATTCACTGAGATAGTTCTATTCCTCAAGGAGGGTTGGAAAAAGTAGAAAAATAGCAACTTGAGAACTTGTAGCTGACTAAGTTGTGCTATGATAGTGTAGGAAAGATTGCAATGCTCTAAATGGATCATGTTTGTAATGGAGCAAGCTGCTTTTATGTTAATCACACGCTAAATGGCATGAATTGATTGCTGATGATGACTAAAATTTGCGGAGATAGTTATTTCCCTCAATGAGGGCAAAAGAGAAAGAGAAAGAAGTTGACTAATTTTTGCTATGATGTGTAGAAAAGATTACATTTATTTCAGTGCGAACGAGTTGGCTTCGTAATAAGCTTCAACTGCTTAGAGCGCATTGTTGCATATGGGTGGCTTACTGTGAGGAGTTCCAGTTTGCCCTACCTTCTGCGCACATGGTTTAGTTTTGCTTATTCAAGATGGGTGAAATTGTAACTGATGTTTAGTTGCGAAGGAAGTTGATTGACTCATATTAGTGAATAATTTCCAATTTTCTGTACGTGAATGAAGTTATCGTGTTTTTTTTAATGAAGAAATTTCATTGATAAGTGTTGAGACATAATTAAGTAAATAAAAAGTGTGTCCTCTCTAACAACTTATATAATTAAGCTTTTAGATGAGATGGTCGCACACTTCAACATGGTTTTATAGTAGCAGAGGTCCTGGGTTCGAGTCTCACTGCCATCAATATTAAAAGAATTTTCATGTGCTTGGCTCATCTAAAAGAATCAAGCACTTACGTGAGGGGACGTATTGAAAACATAATTAAGTAAATAAAAAGTGTGTTCTCTTTTACAGCTTATGCTTTTAGATAAGACGGTCACACACTTCAACAATAAGCATCCAGAAGATGCAAATAGTTACAAATAGTTACAGAAGGAAATTAGGTCCAGTAGGTTGACACTAGGTAAAGCTTAGGGAGCTAACAAAATCTATGATCTGTTCGATACTATTCACATCGTATGAGTTGCTCCAACAAAAAAGCTTTAAAAGACACCTAACATTTAAGGAGTGAATAGAAGTTGAGATTCCATCAAAGCATTTACGGTTTCTCTCTGTCTAGGTACACCAAAAAAATGCATGCAGGAACCATTATCGCATACCCAAAATACACCAGAACATGCTCCAAATATCTCTTCTACTTTACAATGGAGAAAAAGATGGAAGACATTCTCTGCTTTCTACTGGCACATGTAACACCTATTGCACAGTTGAATGCCTCTTTTGCCACGGTTATCTTGACTCAAATAAGCTTTGGCAAAGGGTAGTCCCCGTTTAAATATGCATGTGCATATCTAATGTAACAAAAGGTGGGGGTAAAAGGAGTCGAATACTAAAATCGTAATGCAGATAAGATCTAAATGTGTGCAATGTTTGCAGGTTGTTTAATCACTGAACTACTCTAGTGCCTTGTCATTGGGTGTATTTTACATACTGATGACTGAAGGGCAATTTTATCTGATTTGGAATTAAATGTTTCTTTCGTTTGGTTTATAAGACAATGATATAAGAAGTTGATGTCAGTTACACTTTACCCTATTTACAAAAGGGAAGAGCTCAGGTGTAAACATCAGAAGTAACCACATTTTCTAACAATACGTGGAATTCATGTATAAGTGCTGAATTTAGATAAGTTCCTTAAGTTGAGATACAATGTATGCAAGTGTTTAGATTCTCTTATCTTTGTCATGTCGTTATTCCAAATTTGAATATCCTAGCTTCCGAGTTTAGGATCTCGCGGGCATTTCAGTTAAATGAAGGGATTGGGCACATGGAGAAATGCAAGCGCTATGTAGTCTATTTGTTCAATCTTTCTGTCTTAGAACTAGCATTCGTTCACGAAATGACTAAAATGATTCTGTTGAACATTAGCCATTTCTCGTCCTCGGTCACTGCTCATTGGGTGTAAGGGATATTAAACATACTAGTCTGTCGTCGGTGCTCTTGTTCTGGACTCACCCCTCCAATTGAAGGGCCAAAAGCTGAGTGGTGCATGGAGAGTGGAGAACTATAGGGCCCGAAGGGATATGAAGCTAAAAGGTAGGGTGAGTACGAGGTCATGGGTATCTAGCAAGCTAAAAAAGGAGACTAGGAGCTTTTTGTTCTTGGAAGGAAGTGTACTTTTTCCTAGTTTTTCTTACTGAAGATCATGAGTTACTCATGTCGGAATAAGACTAAAAAAGGATTATCTTGTTTCGTTGTACTCTAAAATATTAGAGGCAATAGAAAGCATGGTGTCCAAGGACAACTAGACACCGGGTGAAGAATTTCTCCAAAAATGGCATCTAATTGTTATCCACACCACTGAGCAAAAGAAAAAGGATATATTGGGAAAGGAGATCTGTGCACTCAGCTGTTTTCTTTAGCTGACCGATGTAATCCTTTTTGTCTCACTCTAATTGGGCACAAGCTTAATAGTAGAGCATGAAAATATTGGGGAAATTACGTCCTTGTAGAAATTTTTAGAGCAAATGAAAGTGATACATTCAGTCTGTAGAAAGGTTTCTACTTTTCCTTTCTACTATAAACATCATTTTATATAGCATATGCACATGGATTTAGAGAGAAGATTGTGAAGCTTTTAATGCGTGAAGCTTTGACTCCCCATTTATAAGAAGGGTGTAAAAGCGTAGGTATTGCTAATCTCAAACTTGAAGATAGGATCTTGCATCTGTTGCCATCCTTTTGGCATTGCCTCTTTCCCTTGCTCTTTCAAGTTTTGTGATGTGTGCCATGTATGGAGCTTCATGTCTATGCCTAAGCAAACTGCACTTGAGATGTTTGCCGTTTGCTACTCACATTTAATTGTAAAATTATATTTCGAGCTGCGAAAAGTCATTTTATGACTCAAAATTCTTCTCCCAGAGGGAAAAATAAGATATGCATTTGTTTTCTGTTCACATTTCGTGGGTTTTGAAGCATTTTTTTGTTGGGACTCTCAACTACTATAGCTTTGCATGATTCTTTGTATTATTTTCAATATTTTTAGCCAGCGTTCTTTCTGATTAAAGTAAAACACTTTTCTCACATTGGCAGTTTCCTATATATGACCATTCAAAACTGCTTTCATTTGTAAATTGACGGCCATGACTGCTCTGCCTGCAGGGGTTTATAAAGGAGAATGTTCCAGCAGAGTTTCTTTATCAACTTTCTGGACTTGGCTGGCTGATTGCTACTGAATCACCATTTTCTTGCACCTTCCTACGTGGACTACACCTTTGAGAATAATGTTTTGAATTTTATGAGGTTTCTCTCCTTGATGTAGAATTTTGGCAAGTGTTAATAGAAGATCATTGCTAGTTTGCTACAGGGTGTCTTTTCTTTTTCCTTCTTGGGACTGATGCTTAATTCATCAAATTAGATTGTAAAGAATGCACGAATCGCCATAGCCAAATCTGAGGAGGAAAAGTAGCTGGAGAAACTGATGAAAAAGATAGTTACAACAACAACAACCCAGTAAAATCCCACCAGTGGGGTCTGGGGAGGGTAGAGTGTACGCAGACCTTACCCCTACCCCGGAAAAACAATAAAAAGTTACCTTGATGCCAAAATTATTAATTATACTGTGTATCTTCTTCTAGCATGTATGATGGCGTTTGAGCAATGCTTTTGATGTTAGGATTGACATTTTTTCGGGAAAAGAAGAAATCTGCAACACCAGCAAGAGTTCAACTTCAGTATGAATTCATTTTATTATTTTTCAGAGTGCCAAAAGATAAAGTATTAATAATAAATAAATGTAACATAGGTATATTTTAAGTTTGTTTCTTTTTTATTCGACGTAGCAATGCAGTAATTTCGATGTTCTCTAGAGCAAAAACCTAAAGGTCGCTCGGTAGCTGGTTATATGGTAAGTTATTCATGTATTAGGAGTAACATAACTAATATTATGCTTGGTATTCATTAGTTACTTTGTACAAAAGTCAGCATAGCTAATAAAATTTATGCATGGTAGAATGTTGAATAACTAATACATGTATTAGTAATACATGAATTAAACAATTAAATGACCAAATATTTATTTTAAGTTACACATTGTATAATTAAAGTAAATTAAAACAAAAAATAATTTTTAAATTACAATCTATAATTTACTAATTTATGCTTTACTAATCCTTACATAACTAATCCCTTTATAATTAAACAATGTATAACAAAATCTTGCATAATTAATCTCTACATAACTAATTCCTACATTACTAATACTTGCATAATGCTAAGTTGCTAACCAGCAACCAAACGACCCGTGACCTCTTTGTAAATGGAACATTGTCAACACGAACAATAACGTGCCAAGAATTCAAATTTCTCAAAATTAAAATATGCATCTATTTCTTTTGTTTTTCCAATTCTTCTTTTTCTTGGGGGGGGGGTGGGGGGGAGTTGGACTTTCAAAATTCTTCCGGACGGGGATGATCAATGATGATGCAAATAAAGAAAGCAAAAAGAATCTATTTTTCTCTTAGGGTGTGTTTGGTATAACGGAAAATATTTTTCAAGAAAATGTTTTCTTGAAAAACAAGTAGTAATCTTATTCATTTTCCGGTGTGTGGTATGCAAAATAAGGAAAATGACTTCTCAAGAGTATTCATAAATAATTTAGATATAATAAACATGAAGCCATAAACTTTCAAACCAACAACCTTCTGAACCCACATTTTTCATAAACTTTCGAACCGCTAAACTTTCGAAACCGCAGAATTTCTAAACCGTAAACTTCCAAACACATAAACCTCCGAACTCATAACTTTGGAACTTGTAAAATTTTAAACCTTTAAACCGATAAATAAAAAACTAAAACTGAAAAATATATTTAAAAAAAATTTCCCGGGGGGTGGGGGGGGTGGGGGGGGGGTCGCAGAAACACTAAAAAAATAGAATTTGAAATTACAAAAAAAAGTATTGTTTTTTTAGGGGGGGGGGGGCGCAATTGGGGGGTGGGTGGTGCAGAAAAACGAAAAACAGAAATTTGAAATTGCAATAAAAAAATAAGGTAAAAAAGTAATATTTTTTTAGCAGGAGGGGGATGGGGGTGGGGGTCGGGTTGGGGTGGGGTGGGGTGGAGGGGTAGTAGGGTGGATGGTAACGGAAAAAACTAAAATTTGAAAGGAAAAAAAAGAGCCTTTTGGAGAGAGGGGGTGGGGTGGGGCGGGTTGGTGAGGGTAGGGAAGGTTGAGAAGGAGTTTTGAAAAATGTTTTCCCTTGCCTTGGTAAGGAAAAATTGGAGGAAAATGAGTTCATAAGGAAAATGTTTTCCAAAACATTTAAGCCAACCAAACATGGAAAAATGGAAAACATTTTCCGAAAAATGTTTTCCTTCGTACCAAACACACCCTTAGTTCTCATAAAATTATCCTCTAATTCTTTTATTTTTTTCAATATTTTGGATGAGGATGCAGAATGAGCAAGTAAGATAACAAGAAGAAAAATAGCTGGTAGATTGAGGTATAAAATAAAGGACGAATGTCACTCACTTCGGGCCAAGCTTAGGTAAAAGAGTCCACTAAGTTCACTAGTGTATCAATAAAGTTCCAATAAAAAGCTCAAGTGAGAAAGTCACAATTCATTGAATAAGATCTGACTAAAGGTGAGAGGCTTTTAAAGTCTGTATCGGGTAGCTACTTGGCAATCTTTAAACAGCCACCTAAGTGATACTACCTCCGTTTCATTTCATATTAAATGAGATACTTTCCTTTTTAGTCTGTTCCAAAATAAATGACACATTTCTAAATTTGGAAATAATTCAACTTTAAACTCCTCATTTTATCCATTTTACCCTTAATGAGAAGCTTTTATAACCACACAAAAGTCATGACCCCACAAAGCTTTACCCCTTATGCTTTTAAGACCACAAATATCAAAAGTCTTTCTTTTTTTTCTTAAACTCCGTCGAGTCAAACTACCTCATTTACTTTGGAACGGAGGGAGTATATTTTTTTTTGGTAATAAACGATTTATTCATACAACAACAAACTAAGAGTTATTACAACTAGAGCTCAGTCTAGGTAACATAGTGCCTAGACTGTCTCTTTTTAGTACATGAACAACAAAAACAGGCGGAATAGCATAAGTTTGCAAAATACAAAAAGTGCCCAAGCTACAACCATTTTTAGCTAACAGGTCCGCTACTCCATTAGCCTCTCTAAAAACATGCTTCAGTTGTGGATCATTCACCTTCCGCAATAGGTACCTGCAGTCATCAATCAAGTTTTGGTAGAGACAGTTATTAGATTTTAGGAGATTTAATAGTTCTAAACAGTCCGTCTCTATTACTAATGGGAGGAGCTTCTCTGTTAGTGCTAGCTTGACTCCATGGAGTAGGGCCAGGATTTCCATATATATGTTAGTAGCATGGTCGAACCCCATGTTGAAACCTAAGATCCATTGACCCCTATCGTCCCTAAACACCCCTCCTATTCCTCCCACTCCTGGATTTCCTACACACGAGCCAGCAATATTTAGTTTATAAAAGCTGGGATTGGGCGGTTCCCATCTTACAAGGATAGTTTTCTTGGGTGGTTTTAAGCAAAGATTTTTTGCCATGTAAAGAAATTCCATGGCTTTGCTAATGGGTTGGCTTAAGGTGATAGGAGGTTTAATTCCTTGAAAGAGAATTCCATTTCTGAAGTTCCAAATATGCCATAGGAGGAAAGGGAGGAAGTCTGACCAGCGTAGGTGATTGTTGAAAGATTTCCTTGACCTGAGTTGTTTTTTAAGCCAATTATACAGGGTATCTTTTCCTAAGGAGTTCTGAGAGAAAGGATGGTTTATATTGATTTGATCCCAGATATGTCTAGAGTAGTTGCTTCGGAAGAAGATATGTTCTATGTCCTCAGTTTCCCTGTTGCAAATGTTACATGTGTCTTCGTGGCAAATCCCTCTTTTGGTTAGCATATGCTTAGTGGGTAACCTGTCCCAAATGATTGTCCAAAGGAAATATTTCAATTTGTTTAAGGAGTTGATTTTCCATAGCCAAGTGTAGTCCTTTCCATTGCATATAAATTCTGAGACAGCTTCATAGGCAACTTTAACTGAGAAGTAGTTGTGACCCTTTGAGTCCCAAGCGTATGAGTCAGTAGTGGGCCTAGTTTGTTTTATGTAGGTGCAGTTTATCTTAGAAACTATGTCAGGGGGGAATTCGAAAGATAAGTTTCTAAGGTCGAGTATTCCATTTTTAATAACGCAGGAGAGATTTAGGTCGAGCTCTCCAGCTGGGATGGGGCCCTGGATGCAGTCTCTAAGTGCTCCTAATTGATTTATCCATTTATCGTGCCATAGGCTAATGGCTGTCCCATCTCCTACTAGCCATTTGGTGTTGGCATTGCAAATTGCAGAACCCTTCCTAATGAGCTTCCAAGTATGAGAGCCTATATTCTTGCTTTTCCTATGGTTATATTTACTAAAGATAGTTTTGGCCCATAGGGCTTCTTTTTCTTTTATATATCTCCAAGCTAATGCCGCATTGAAAGAGGAATTTTTCCAATGGGTGTTAGGAATACCTAAGCCCCTTGCTTTTTAGGCATCGTGACTATGCTCCATTTAACAAGGTGGCATTTCTTTTTTTCCTCCGTGCTACCCCATAGGAAGTTCCTTTGAATAGATTCTATCTTGTTGAGGGTTGTTTTGGGGAGATATAAATCTGCATGACGTGATTCGGGATTACGGCTAGGGTGACTTTTATGAGGGTTGTCCTACCGGCCATATTAAGGAACTTAGTTTTTCAGCCTTTTAGTCTATTATTCATCGTGTCTAGGATGAATTGGAAGTCTGTTTTTGTAGGATTGGCATTGGGCATAGGAAATCCTTGGTACTTACCAAAGTTATTAGTATATCTCATTGAGAAGCAGCTGCTAATATGATCTTTTATATCCGTAGGGGTATTCCTGGAGGACACAATTTTTGATTTCCCAAAATTGATAGATTGCCCAGAAGCATTGCAAAATTTGTTAATAGTGTCTATAATTGAGTTATAGCTCTTTTGGTTGGCTTCAGCTAGGAGGATAAGATCGTCTCCAAAGAATAGATGGGAAAGCTCCGGCCTTTTGGGAGTTATTTTGACGGGAGTCCATCTACAACAATCTATTTCGTGGTCGATTAACCTAGAGAGCATTCCCATACATATGATAAAAATATATGGGGAGAGGGGGTCCCCCTGTCTAATACCCCTAGATGGTTCAAAAAATTCAGTTCTTGATCCATTGATAAGGATAGCCGTGGTGGTGGTAGAGATGCAAGACATTATAAGATCAACGAGGTCATGAGGGAAGTTAAGAGAGTTAAGGGAAAATTTGACAAAAGACCATTCAATTTTATCAAAGGCTTTTTCCAGGTCGATTTTAATCATCATTTTGGATTTTTTCCCTTTAGTTTTCCTGAAGTGGTCTAGAACCTCATTTATGATTAAGGCATTATCAGCAGCCCTTCTGCCCTGAATAAAGCTAGTTTGTGTAGGGTGGATGAGATTTGGTAGGAGGGCTTTAATGCGGTTAGCAATAATCTTAGTAACGACCTTATAAGCCGTGTTGCATAGGCTTATGGGTCTAAACTGCCTGAAAGTTTCA